GAGGCACATGTGTCAATTATTTCTGAACCAAGGTCATTTACAGAGGCAATAAATGGTCCACAGGCAAGGCAATGGAGAGAGGCAGCCTTGGAGGAAATGAACACACACATTAGCAATGGAACCTGGACCATAATGAAGCTACCACCAGGAAAGAAAGCTATAGGATCAAAATGGGTTTTCAAGGTAAAATGAAAGGCAGATGGATCAATAGAATGCTTTAAGGCACAATTGGTTGCTAAAGGATACAACCAGAGACCAGGATTTGACTATACAGAGATTTTTGCCCCAACAATGCGCCATGCTACTATTCATCTAGTATTAGCACTGGCTGCAGCAGAAGGCCTCCACCTCCGATCAGTTGACATATCACATGCATTCATCAACAGTGATATTGATACAGAAATATACATGGTCCAGCTGGAAGGATTTCATCAAGGAGACCCAGATACAGCATGTAGACTAGACAAGTCACTCTATGGACTCAAGCAGGCAAGCAATCTCTGGAGCAAACACCTGCAGAGTGTACTAGAGAAAATGGACTTCAAGCAGATTTATTCTGATCCATCAGTCTATATCTATCAACGAGATGGAATCAAAGTCATTGTTCCAATATTTGTAGATGACATCACCCTTGCAGGACCATCTGAAAAAGTCCTGGATGACTTTGTAGCTGAGTTAGCTACACACTTCAAACTCAGGGATCTAGGACCTACATCTTTCCTATTAAGCATTGAAATCACACGAGATTGAGAAAAGCGAACTATCTCTCTATCACAATGCCAGTACATCTTGAACAAATTACAGGAATTTGGGATGTCAAACTGTCATACAGTGGGTACACCCATGGATCCAGGGGCAAAACTATCATCAGATCAGTCACCCAAAACCATGGAGGAACAGAATGAAATGTGTGACATTCCCTACATTAATGCAGTTGGGTCCATGATGTACTTGGCCACTACCACCCATCCTGACATTGCATACACTGCAGGAGTATTGGCTCGGTTTAACTCAAACCCTGGTATAGCACATTGGAAGGCCGTCAAGCACCTATTCCGATATTTGAAGGGAACTATGGATATGAAACTCACATATGGTCCTGATCCCTTAAATACATACAGATCTATTTGTTGGCTTCAGTGATGCTAGTGATGGTGGAGACAAGGACAGTGGAAAATCAACAACAGGGTACATAATCAAAGTGGGATCAGGAGCAGTATGTTGGAGCAGCAAACTACAACCAATTGTGACACTATCCACCACAGAAGCTGAATATGTTGCTGCAGTTTCAGCAGGGAAGGAAATCTGTTGGATGCAGAACCTGTTAAAGGAATTGGGATACAAGGCACCATGTCCATCAAAACTCTTCATTGACAACCAGTCAGCACTAACTGTAGCCAAGAATCCAGAACATCATGGACGAATGAAACATCTGGACCTATGCTACTACTGGTTATGTGTCATGGTAGAAAAGGAATCAATCAACCCTATCTACCTACAAACAGATGAAATGCTGGCAGATATCTTAACCAAAGCATTACCAAAACCAAAGGTGGAAAAGTTCAGATCTATGATGGGATTAGGAAATTGAACAGATATGGGATTAAAAAAGTGTTTCATCAAGGGGGTGTGTTAAATTTGATGATGAAACACACCTTTTTATAGGGGGAGTCCACAAATTATTGCAACTTTTCATATGAAGATGCTAATTGTGGACCATGCATTTGGAGGTTAATGTGTGTCAGAACCACTATACACCCCCCAGAGCACCAAACCTATATTGTCAGGAGGTGCTACACTAACTGACACAAGATATTGAGACACAAGTACTTTCATTACAAGCTTATTACAGTGCTTTGCATTATGTAAGGCACATGCTAGATTTGCAGGGAAATATTGCTGAAAATTGCGAACCTCGTAGCTCTTTCAATAATTGACCAATTGCCTTGTAACTTCATATATGCATTTTACTACTATATATCTAGTATAATTTGATGTTATAACTCCAAAATTTGACCTACAGCATGTTTCCCAAAATCACAGTCCATTTGAGCTTACGAACCAATTCATGAGCCAACCGATGTGTCACTCCCAATGAGCTTGTGATATGTTGTTTTACATATATATAGGTAGTAAAAAATGACAGTGCCAGGCTTTTGTAGTCTAAATACCAGCTGTAAACCTGTATGAGGGTAGTGTGTATGCATTTACTCAGCAAACTTACCACATTACCACTGACTGCAAAAGCCAGCTGCTGTCATTTTTTACTACCTAGATACATGTAAAACAGCATATTACAAGCTCATTGGGAGTGACACATCTGTTGGCTCATGAATTGGTTTGCAAGCTCAAATGGACTGTGATTTTGGGAAACATGCTGTAGGTCAAATTTTGGAGTTATAACATCAAATTATACTAGATATATAGTAGTAAAATACATATATGAAGTTACAAGGCAATTGGTCAATTATTGAAAGAGCTACAAGGTTCACAATTTTCAGCAATATTTCCCTGCAAATCTAGCACGCACCTTACATAATGCAAAGCACTGTAAACCCTTGTAGATTGTGTATTGCAATAGAGTCAACTCATACTATTTTTAATAAGCATAGCAAAGGTTCCCAGGTTTGTATATATATAGCAAAGTTGCTTGGTGGGTTGTGGGTGTGAAAAGACACCAGAAATCACAGCAAGGCAGGTAAAGGGAATATTAGTGACTAAGCTTCCATTATTAGTCAGCACAGAAGCATATCTGGAAGTATTTCAGACACTGTGGAAGCATTTCTGCAACCACAGGAGTATTTTGTGATTTGTGTAAAAGCATTTTTTGGACACATGGACACATTTCCCACACCCTCAAGAACAGGTTTCCCATGCCTCTGCTAGGAACTTTCCACACCCTTCATGGAGGCATTTCCCATGCCCTTCACAGAGGCATTTGTGAAGCCATTTCCCCAGAGTTGTTTCCTTTTGTAATGGTTGTTCCTGTTGTAATGGTTGCTTCCTTTTATAACTGTTTCTGTTCCAATTTCTGTTCTAACACAATTTCTGTTCTAACACATTTTCCACTCTAACACATTTTCCATTCTAACACAATTTCCAACAATCCAGAGCCTATAGCAAGCAGTGGGGTCAGTCACAAAGTGACTGCCTGTCAGGGCAATATATATAATATACATATGGTTGCCATTTATTTTATTTAAGTTTATATTTTTCTACATTTTTTCTACATTTTTCTATATGTTATAAGGTCCATATATGCACCTACACACAGATATAGGTACGAATGTGATTACGTAATCACACCACCATCGAAAGGCCACACCGCCATCGCAAAGTCATTGCCGCTGTCACCATCATCGCATGGCCGTATCCGCCATCGTTGCAAGGCTGCAGCCGTCATCATCACGAGATCAATGCTGTTGAAATAGGCTCTTGCACTCTAATCCTATGTCAAGTCTATGTCAAGCTTACATGGACATACCAGGATGTGTTGTCCCTGACATGTATACTAATGGTTGAAGCTTATATTAGTGACAACCTATTTAACAGCTACAGTTGCTATCCCATACCTCAGTTGAACCATTATGTGTATTGACTGAGGTATGTAACTACTGTTACTTTCATGATGTGTTATTTAACTAAAGCCTACTGTAGCGTATTTCATTACAGGTAATAAATACACCGACTCAAGGCCAACACTGCTGCCTACACTCCAATGGACACACAGTGTGAAGCACTGTGTGTCCATAGAGGCCTCCTGGTGCATCGACACTGCAACTGCAGTTGGAGCCTATGCAAATGCTGGTGCACTGCACGGATCTACACAGTGCCGGGTAGGCTTACATAAACGCTGAAAGTGCGGCTAGCACTGTAGGGTGCATACAATCTATTTTCAGTATTTTTCTCAAGTTTCTAATAAATATTAAATATTACAGCGCTTTCCATTACGTAAGGCGCGCGCTAGATTTGCGGGGAAATATTGCTGAAAGTTGCGAACCTCGTAGCTTGCTCAATAATTGACCAATTGTCTTGTAACTTAATATACGTATTTTAATACTATATATCTAGTATATTATGATGTTATAACTCCAAAATTTGACCTACAGCATGTTTCCCAAAATTGCAGTCCATTTGAGCTTGCGAACCAATTCATGAGCCAACAAATGTGTCACTCCCAATGAGCTTGTAATATGTTGTTTTATATGTATCTAGGTAGTAAGAAATAACAGCGCCTGGCTTGTTCTGTCTAAATACCAGCTGAAAACCTGTATGAGGGTAGTTGTATGCATTTACTCGGCAACCTCACTCACATTAGCTCTGACCGCAAAAGCCAGGCGCTGTCATTTTTTACTACCTAGATACATGTAAAACAACATATTATGAGCTCATTGGGAGTGACACATCTGTTGGCTCATGAATTGGTTCGCAAGCTCAAATGGACTGCAATTTTGGGAAACATGCTGTAGGTCAAATTTTGGAGTTATAACATTATATAATACTATATATATAGTATTAAAATACGTATATTAAGTTACAAGACAATTGGTCACTTATTGAGCAAGCTACGAGGTTCGCAACTTTCAGCAATATTTCCGCGCAAATCTAGCGCGCGCCTTACGTAATGCAAAGCGCTGTAAATAAATAGTATAAATAGGGGGCATGTACATAGCTAGTCTTTAGTTTCAATCTCTTAGGAATCCCACTAAAACAAATGTGATGTCCCCTGTCATTGAGCTATCCCCTCTTCACTTCATATTTCTGTGTTTTATCTTGTGTTTGGTAGCCTTGTTAGTGTTGCCCTAACACTGCCCCACAGCATAGCAAGGGTTCCCAGGCTTGTCAGTTTCAACAATAATTCAGTGGTCTGGCTGTCAGTGCATGAGTACCAGTGCTGATATAAAGATTATTCCTTAGTTTACTTCTAATGGGGACTTCTGTAAAGAACCTTCATTGGGTATGAGTGAGACCTTATAGTTATTAAGGGTATAGAAAAGAATTGACCTAGCCCTGGGATTGAACCAAAGGACTTCCTGGTTTTATATGCCGGTGCTCTAACCACTGAGCTACTGAACCTAATTTAGTAGTATTGCTTAGAGGATATATACTCATGTATTCTACATGTCACAAATGACTGATGCCATCTTTGGAACTTATAACAGTTACATGGACTGATGCCAACCCGGGACTTAAATCAGTTACATATTGTGCTGTGGCTACTAAATATTGTTCCAATTCCAACAATAGACTCTGAATGCAACATCCGCCAACAACCAAGCTCCTCCGGCGGAAATATATACACCATATAGTATTTACAGGCAACGATAAGACATGTGGGTTATGGCTGATACCGAAATTCAGGATGCTGTGAGCCAAGCTCATCGATCTCGGTCGTGATTTCTCACTTGATCGATGATCGTGCTCGCCGCGGTCTCTTTTCGCATTCTGCAAGTTAAGGTACACTGTTCCAATAATGGCTAGAATAAAAGTAATACATGCCCCGGCAATATTCAAGGAATGGGCATGACGACTGTGGGAAATTGTGAGATAACGCCAGGTCGCAAAACACAGACGACAAACTAATTCGGACCATCTTTTGGCAAATACGCCCAAACACTGGCACATGTAATGTTATTCATCAAAGATAAAGCCAAGGAAAGAACCTCTTACCCTATAAAAGAACCGAGAGCGCCTGCTGAATCGACGATAGCGATGCTGCTGGCGCGCACTGCCTCCGAAGCTACATTTTCAGCAGCCCAGGAGAGGAGAATTGGGGAACTTGATCTAGATCCCGCAAGAGCCAGAAAGCATGCACCGTATCTGAGATGGTTCAGTCTCTTCCTCTCGAGCTTGAAGCATATAGCCAGAGTCGTACCGGGTATGAGAGTTATCTGACCCAACAAAAATCGCATAGCCTATGATGGTGACTATGGAACCGATAGCAATGAAAACTCCACGTTGTCGAAACCTATATGACATATAGCCATTGCAAAATGCACAAAAAGCCTCTACGAGGTGCGGTGGGACCGTCCGTAATTGTGATTCGGAGGTCGCTAAGAAATTGCTCGTTAAGGTAAGACAGAAGATACAAAAAGCTCACAGAATTTTCCAACTGCGAAGGACAGAAGAGTTTTTGCCATATAATACAATTACTTGTAACTGGAAATGACGTACGGCTCGCGATGATAGCAGGCAAAAATACACCCAATCCTTGCAATGAAATATTAACGAATAGGTGACTTAAAGCGCAAACTCCAACCTAGAATAAAAAATTCTTGATTAGTAAACGCCATTTAGGACGAAAAGAAGAAGTCCACGTGAAAGGTGAATGAACGCAGGACGAGGCGCGGGCGGAACCTCCTTTCGGTCGATGCATCAGTTGAATTACTATTTTTGGCGGTCCATTCCAAGACAAGTGCACGTTCGTCCTCCGCCAATAACCGGGAATTTTTTGGGGGATCGGGAATGAAGAACACGCAGAGTATTCCAATCCCAGTAGTAATAATCCCCTGCACGAGAAAAATCTTCCGCCAGGAGGCAACTGATCCTATTGAATCAATAGATAACAGTCCGGATGCGAGGAAACCGCCAACTATCGAGTAAGAGCAAGTTAGTCTATGGAACTTGGAAAGAAATTTTGGATTGACCAGCGCCAGATAGAGCACTTCCCAATGGCAAGAAAGTACAGATGCGCATTACCAACTCGGACCTTGGGTAGTACTTCGATCACATCAATACCCGCACAATTACTATCTCTGGCATAACACTCACAAGGCTGAGTGTGTATATGGTCCCTGAGACCAAACCGCTTTCAGTGACTCCCAACATTATACGAGTTGCCAGGAACCCCGCATAATTGGTAATGAACGCGGTAGATATTGATACGATCCCGAATGATATGACTAAGAGTGCAAGCCAAACAGAACCGACGACCCTTAAAGCCATATTTGATGGAATTTGGAAGGCAAAATACTCAAACATATAGTAAGTTAGAGGTCGATCAAACGCGAAAGAAGATTCACAGTGATATAATATACAGAAACCCCGATGTTAAAGTCCAGACCTTTCAGACCCAGGTCGCGCTCGATTCCTAATATTTGGAGACGCATTAATGAAAATCCTCAGGACTTGAAAGCGCATAATTCACCTGCTATCTTCGCATTCCCTATGAAAATACTTTTTTTAAAAGGCTATACGAGCCAAGATTGAAAATATGGTACATACCGACTGCTGCTCTGTCAAAGTTCAGAATGAGAAGCAGGAGTGTCGCTATAGGCAGCAGAGTTATATCCAGCTTGCGAAGGAGACGGTTCTTCGTCAATTTGTTGTCTGTCGTCGCTTTTGGGGCAAGCATATTGAACTATTGAACAAGAGGGAAGAGGCAGGCTGGGTTAAAGTGGGAAGAGACATTTTATAAGAGCATATATCGATACCCGTATTACCGATGGGAGTACTAGCTCACATCAATATGTACCCTGGTGGGAATGCTCGTTGTAGTTTCTACTATCAGCGGACAAGTCATATCTCCATATTTGATGGGGAAGAACAACACGAAATCACATTTGGCACTAAAATTAATTCAAGCGACAGGTTCCTCATGTGCATGTCAAATTCCATTTCTCAAGCCCCTGCTTATGCCAATCAGGGGAAGAACATACCAATGAGATGGGATGCACTTAATATCCGATAAGGATTTCCCACTCCAGAGGAATTTTCTATCGTTGTTTGTAATTTATTTAATAAAGCCTTCGTACCAGCCAGGTTACTGACTACCCGCCATTGGCATCTGATCCGACTACGACTTCAAAACGAAATAATTGAATGACGGAATCCCTAATCCCTAAACTTTTATCCCAATCCTCAAACGCTACCCCCTGGCTTGAACCCCAAAATGTAACCCCTTATGTGTGCATCAAAACGTGCTATCCCTTATTGGTGCAGCCTGAGAGTTCTGTATCTTCGCCCTTCTCATGAAGACGTTTTCAGTATCTCACCGGTAAAACGTTCGCTAGATCCAACCATACTACACGGATAAAAGTACATTTAAAGAGGAGATTGAATACAATGACTACTGTCTCACCTTTTTCATACGAGCGCTTACTTGTTCAATACTCGTTTTTCCTAATATATCATAACGAAGCACTCTCCCGACATTCGGGAAGCCGTAGGCTGAGACTCCGCCTGAATATGTAATTTGTCTTTTACAATCTGTCGAACGTACCATCAGTTATATTAAGAGGTTCAATCTCTTGAGCCCCGTCAGTTGCTGACAGTGGGTGCCGCGTAAGGCCGAACAGATTCCTCACAAGCCCAAGCCGTCCAACTCTCACAGGCTACCATAATTATAAATTTGATTAAAGACTATCTCAAGGGTCTTAAATTACCTAAAAGACCAACACTGAGAGCCGAGCCATTATATTTTGCTATTTGCTAACTTCTTTTGAAGAATAAATACAGACAGAAGGATTAATAAAAATGAGCCTTAGTTGGGACCGTCACAGGCAAACAACTTGTGTGTGGATGCCTAAAGGAGATGACTGTATCTACTCTTAGCGAGTACAGACCACGAATGGAAAAGATACTAACGCCTCACTTGGGACCGTTGCATGTAAGGAAACGACCGCCCATTGAAGTATATAATAATATATGTTTGCGTTTGTTTTAGTAATCAATCAAAAGTAATAAATAATTTCTCTGCTTTCCACATGTCTAACATCACGTAATGCAGTCAGTCACTTGTTAGAAGTTCAGGTCCGTCGTACTGCCTTTCGTTGACATATATGATCTTGACATATTCGTAGCACCCTTGGAAAACAACTTCCATTGAATTCCCTTGTACAGTAGTAATTGTACGGTAGTAATTATTCCCTTGTACGGTAGTAATTATTCCCTTCACAACGACAATCTTTCGCGGTGATAAGACGGATCCCATGAAGCAAACAGTAAACCTCAGGCGATCACTGTTGAAATAATAGCGTTATGTAAGCTACCTTTGGTAAGCTGGAACGCAGTGTAAGGCAACTGTATAGTTGCTTTACATTTACTTACGGATACTATATATGGTATAGAGACCAATCGCTTAGCCTCTCAGTGAAGGTTTATCACTCACTGAGAGGATATATAGAGAATTGCGCAAATAATCTCAACAGGCTATGGGCCCCACAGAGCCTAGTTTCAAGAGCTATGTTGTCCCAAAACTCGACCAAGATGGATTGAACTGGGTTACCTGGAAGAACCAGATGTTGATGGTACTCAGCGCTGATAGAGGTCTAAAACGTCATCTTGAGGGAACTGTGAGGGAGCCGCCACCGCCGCCGACTTTCGGCGCGAAGCACATAATGACGGAAGACGATTGGGCCAAGGTCGAAGCTGCGGAGCAACGACGGGATGGATTTGAACAACGCGAGGCGTGTATCAAAGCCCACATCTTCACGTTGATTGAACTGAGCCTTCAGATCGAAATTCAGAAGTTCCGAACCGCAAAAGAAGTTTGAGTTTGGGACACACTGTGCACTAAGCATGAAGGCAAATCACTGTCTGTAAAGATCGATGTCAGACGTGGCTACTTCTAAGGGCGTAGCAAGCCAAGAGATAACGAAAGGCTACAGAGATCCGCCGAGAACATCGAATGCTGGAACTGTGGAAGAAACGGTCACTTTGCAGCCGACTGTCGCAAACCGAAGAAAGGCACGACGAAAAGGATGATGATAATGCAAATGGCAACATGGGCGAGAATCCGAACATCGCCATATCAAGTATGCATTTTGCATTAATGACAACATTCATCAGACCCACCTTATCGTGAGAAACGAGTCCACCCAAGCATATGGAAACTGATGTCCACAATTTGGCAATGTCGAACCACAAGTCATCTAACCACCGTCGATTCGCCGCCTTTAATGAAAACCGCGGGAATCTTGAACTCGAGGCTGAAAAGGGCGCTGTGTAGGACTCAGCAGCGAAAGACAAGGGCGTCATACCTATTTGCCTGGAAAATGATGCGCCACAGTAGAACGAAACGTCAAGTTTGATGAATCAGTCGTCGAAATTTTGAACGACACGCTGGTTGAGGAGGG